AATTCTCAAGTCGTCATTGGCTAACTGAGTTTAATTCGAATAAACATGATTACCTTGTAACACATGAAAAAAATAACGAAAAGAAAATTTTTCATGATCATAAGAGTTTGCCGGATAACTGTAGCTTATTTTGATAAGATTTTTTTTCTAACCTTTGGACGAAAATATCTCGACAACCATCTATCTAAAATCAATGGAATTTTTTTATTCCGATTCTATATTTCTGTATAATTAAAATAGAATAAATTTTTATTAATTTTTTATATATTTTTGTCGAGATATCCTTATTCAAAGTTTGAAAAAATGGTGTCGTGGTTTGATAGTTATTTAAGTTTTCCCCCAACTTTGAGTGAAGATATCTCAACAAATTAACAAAGTTTTTTTTTTATTTTAATTATACAGATTTATAGAATAGGGATAAACACAATTTTAATTGACTTTAGATAGGTGATTGTCGAGATATTTTCACTCAAAGTGGGGAAAAATTTATTCTGATGATTATTGCGCTTTGCAAAAAGGTGTGACATCTGCAGATCACAATGTCTGTGAAAATCAGAGATTCTGTAGTTTTTAAGAATCTTATCGATTTCAAATAAATATAAATATAACTGATCGAAAATATGAATTAATAGACAATATAGAATTTCGGAAATTTTCCCCTTTCATCATCACAAAAATCATAGGGTCACATCTTTTTGCAAAGCGCTATAGTTCGTCCAATCAGAATGTTGATGTTCAAGTTTAATCTTATTTGTTTAATCTTATTTGTTTGAACTTTTTTTCTCCATGGCCAGGGTACTACGAGCATCCTTAAGTCTTACAAGAACTAGAAAAACCTAGTGTAGACCAGACATATGTTAAGAAATGTGGTTATTAAATGAGTTTTACAAAATATGATGAATTTAAGTTATTATGGTACCATATATTATAATCACGGAACTCAAAAAGAATTATGAATTTATAAATCCTAAAAATTTATATCGATGTCATTATTTTATATACAGAATTTATAAGCTTAATTTTAAATCTGATATTTAATTATTTTATATACAGTATTTAATCTAAATTATTTTAATTTAATAAACAAATATAATATTCTGATCGTTTTTAGATCTTCCGTTCCTGGTTTTGCGCTATGGTATCGCGCAGCTATCTAGTTCATAGAATAGGTGGGCAAACTCCGCCAAACATTACGTGATTAATAATCGGCGAAGCTTATTTCCCGATGAGTGTTCTTGAAGATTCGGATTTAATGATAGTGGGTTATTAAGAAATGTAGTTTAGTTGATAGGGAAGGGTTAAATACGTTATTACTTCATTTTATTATACAAGACGCAGAACTCCTCGAACTGCCTCTCTCCCGCTTTATTATCTGAAGCCAAGATCTGTGGCTTCAAATCAATATTGATAGTCTTGGACCCAAAGTATCATCAGCTAATCTTTCGAGAATGTTTTCGATACCTTACTTATTAGCATTTAATTTAAACCTAATAACATTAGTTTTTCTATTTTACTGTTTACCAGTTTTTTTTTTTTTTTTTTTTTGTGGTTGGTGCTCTACTTAGTATTATAGCTTTTTGTACTGATTTCTTGCTTTTTACTTATGTTTTTATACTTATGTTTTTAACTTGATTGCAAGTATTCCTGGATTTACTTAACCGTACTGTTAATTGTTTGCTTATTCTTGGCTATATTGATGTTAGGCGTTCATTTGTATTATAAGAGTTGCTTTAACAATCTATATTACTGTTTGTGTAAAAAGGGTTAGTTAAGAAGCAGGATGATACATATGGAGAACAGTTACTTTTGAGATGGTATAATAGATGAGTTTTAGATCTAGTGAGATTTTATCAATAAGCATAAATTGAACTTCTTTAAAGTGTAATTTTTATTGAGATCTTACTATAGAAAATAAAATTATCAAAGACTCTTCTTAATTTTAATTAGAAACTTTTGAATATTTTTAAGTAAACTTTTCTAAAGTATCAATGACTAAACATAGGAGCACGTGAATCACCGGAACTACTACCACCAGGACCCTTTTTCTTTAAAAATTTAACTATTTCCATGTCACTAGTTACAATATGAGATATGAACACCCAAAAAACAGAAGATATGCTATACACAGTCAGCAAACTAGCTTCTTTGTCGTCCTGATCTTCTAATAAAGCACATGAAATATCAAAAATATTTGCCATTGAAATAATCATTGCTCGCATTAAATTGCAAAAAATTACTGCAAAGAATAGATCCATATTTTCAGGGCCGATTGTAGCTCCCGGCAGAGTTTCAAAACTAGTCTTTAAACTTCGAGCCCGAAAAAAATGTAAGTGTAGGCTAACCGTAACAAAGACATTAATAGCTTCATCGACTAGGATCATTATTACTTTAGATAGGGAGTATAAAAGTCCAGCTTGCCGAGCATTACAAGAAACCGTTGTTTTAAGTGAAAAAAAATAGGTCAGCTATAAAAAGTAAATATTAGCTATAGGCGTATACAAATAATGCTAAATTAACTTTATACTTACGTAAGTAAGAAGAGATAAAATGAAAAGAATTACGCTTATTCTAAAGGTAGTTGTGTCTTTGTGAATGAAATTCAAACGGGTCAGTAAAAACGAGTTTAAAAAAGCTCTTTTTATAATAATAGCTATAGCTTTAAAGTAAAATAGTGTTTGGCATGCAGAAGTATTAAGGTATGGAACTAAGCATAGTAAAAAAAAAAGGGACAAATAGTTCATTAGAGCTCCTAAGTTGAAAATAATTTTAAAAAAATTAGGTAAAGTTCGCTTCTTTGTTATGTAAAAGAATGTAGAAAGGAAAAAGTTCTGCAGAAAGACCTACGCAAAGAAAAATTAATTAGGTATTCATGTTCTTAAAATGTTCAATAAAGCAAGAAACACTAACCATCATTACAAATCCATGCTCCCACGCTTTAAAAAGGGTTGTCGCATAGGAAAGTTCCATACAATGTCTCTTTTATACACGGAGAGATTTTGCTGCTCAGATAGAATTAAAGCTTAGTGCTAAGGATTAGGATTACTATAATAATAAGCTACTTTAAGAAATTTTAAATGCATACTGTTTTGATTTTTCTCTCTAGAATAAAACAGTGAGTAGAACAAATCTTCTTTTGGCCGGTAAATTCGTTAAATAGCAATTTGTCGTAAATAAAGGTCAAAAATTGAATGACAAGATGAGTAAATATAATTTTAGAACTAAAAAATATTAGTGGACAGCTCATTGAATTGCATTAATCTCATTTAGTTTGATTACCTTTTGCTAAGATACAGTACCGGACAGCCATATTGGCGTTTATGCACGGTCTAATAAATATAAAAACCAATGAATTATGATTCCGGTCATTATTTGACTAGACCTGAAGCTAAATAATTTAAAATTTGACTGAATGATTGATTTTTGACCGGAATTATAACTCATTGGTATTTATATTTATTAGACCGTATAGATCAGCCGATATGCAAAAAACATCCTTTTTTTAAAACCGTCAAAATTTAAGATTATATAATCAAATATGATTGGCTACTTTATATATTGAACTCTGATTGGTTAAAAATATATACAACCAATTTTTTTTATATATTAAATGCCAAATTTTTGTTTACATATAACTTTAAGCTCTTTTTAATTTTATAAGAAAAATAAAAATCTGATCTAACAAAATTGTAGCTTAAACTGAAAGCAACAAATCTGTAAGACAGATTTTTTGCGGGTTATTTATTATTGAGTTATAAGCGATTTTGTATTTATATATATATAAAGTGGTTGTTTTTGCTGTCCTGTGCTGTATAAGCGTAATAAATATTTACACAGTCACGTACGTCACCATATAGTGTGGAGCTTAAGATATTAGCGTGATTATAAACCACCTGGAAAATTGTCTCGTACTCCTTTTTGAGTTTCGCTCGTCCTCTCAAATTATATTATATTTTGTCTTCAGCCAGATACGTAGATAATTTTTTTTTTTTTGTATCGTCTGTTTTAATATCTGACAAGATGTGGTCTCTCTGTGGCTCCAAATTACTATACATATTTGATCTTATTGGAAAAAGGGAAATTCGGAGAAAATGTATTAAGAAAATGTCATACTTAGAAAATTATCAAAAAAATTTTAGTAACGCCGCCAACAAAAATCGGGCAAATTTAGGTTGCGACCCAAACTCTTATTTTAAGTTAGCGTTTCTACTTAGTTTGGTTTTGGGAATCGGTATTTTTACCTAGTTTGGGTCATAAACAAACCCAAAATATGTATCCCATTTCGGTAAATAGTGTCAATCTCAAAACTATCAATTCATTAAATAATTATTCGGCATTTAGTAGAATAATCTTTAAATTATTCAACAAATCTGACTTTTAATCAGGCATATCCATGTTTAAAGATTGATACTCTGAAGATCGAATCCAATTCAAAAACAATTATCGATTAATTAAATATAGTTAAGCCAATAACACGTAAAAATTTTGTTTCAGTGTTACCAGGTAATAAACAAGCAGAATTCATATTCATCATTAGTAGGAAGAAACTGATTGTCAGAAAGAAGTGCAACGAAGAATATGATTAGGCAATCCATTCTTATAATTTCACCTTGATATTTCTATATAAAAATCGAAGTATTCGATGTATGCATGAGTTTAAATGATGTAATAAGAAAATGTACATAATACCAGGATCTGAGTACAACGAAATGTATGGTTACTTAAGGAGTGAAATGGTGTGCACAAATACGTTCTTCTGATTGATCATTCTTCCATATGATCGGTGCATTCCTGATTACTGATCAGTTGTTAATAGAGATGGGCACGCGCGGGATTTTTACAGCTGTTCTCATAAATTTTGGGACATCTGGTAAAAAATTGACCGAATGATTTTAGGCCGATTCGATAAGTT